AGAAGATAATTCCTCTACCCACTCTAGGTCCTTCTGGCTGGGCCATGAATTAAATTGACATGAGACACAACAACACGAGAAAACCAAACAAAGCTTTATAACATGTATACATCGCAGAAACCCAGAAAAACTGCATAACTGACCAGAATGGCCAAGGATGCCACCTTAAATAGCATCTGCAGCTAAAGACAAAGGAGGATGTTGGGGGTGGAGGAGTCAGTTATGGATTACCAGAAAAGCACAGTAAACAAGAGTAAGATTATTATGCAGATTTTAGTCCTTGCCTTCCCTGCTTGATAAGAGTTTCTAGAGACAAGGTCATCCCCCTCTTCCTGGTACAGAGAGGGAGATATCTTTACAAATGGAGATTTCCCTTACCAATGTAAATGTCTCTTACAAAAGGTAACTTCTAGTTGGTTTTCAGAGCTTTTCCCATGTCTGCAGTTTTTAGAAAAATAACCAGCCCAAAATAATCCTCATGCCAAAGAGACACATGTTGAGGTGGCAAATTCTGCTCCCCTACATCACCTTTTCAGACATATTTCTTAGGCTTTTATTTTTGTTGTTTTTAATGGTTGGTCCCCTTCCCCTCCCATCTGTCTCGATCACCTATTTTCAGCTTATGGCTCAGGACCACCTTCCTCTTCCAGGAAAACCTCTATTTATATACTCTCAAACAGCTGAAAAAGAGTTGTAGCTTCTAATAGTTATTAGTATAGTAGTATAGTAGTAGCTATTAGTAACATTAATAATAAGATTCCTATTTCTCTGGAAATAAGCCAATGGCTTCAAGCTTAGATCTTACCACAAAATGGTGTAACATAAAGTCAGCATTTGATTTTACTATTTATGAGAGAAAGTACCTAAAAGTTGGTTAATTTCACTTCCTCTTGTCTATATATATATAGTTGGTAGGTACCTTAAATTGATAACCTCACGAACAGTTGTCTCAGAATGGCCTCTATTGTTGATGAATGGCTTAATATTACACCTTGGTAATTATTTCTTCTTGTGAAATATTTGGCTTTTGTGCTGCAGGATGCACAGACCCTCCCTCCATAATGCACACAGCAGGGCTTCACTATATGAACATCAAATACAGCAAACGTGTTGAGGACGTAGTCAGACTCACACAATTTATTTTACTGAACATAGATTCAAGTTCAGTGAAGCATTCTAACAGGTAAAAAGATTCAAACATTGAGAAAAATCTCTGTAAATCACAAAAAGCAAGCTCACACAGTCTCTGGGCCATCAACGCACTTCCATTTTATTGATTCTCAACACCCTCTGTGTGCAAGTGTGACAGCGTGAGCTTGCCCAGTACAGAAATCGATATGACACCACAACAGTCCCCCAAAGATGATTATTCCTACCTTGAATGGAAAACATCATTTAAATAAAAAAAATCTAAAGATGCTCCCTTAGTTTTTGTAATTCCTAACTGTAAAATATAGTCTTAGTAACAGAACAAAGAATTCTCCTTGCTTGGTCACATCATTCATTACTGAAAGGGAAAATCAATATCACAAAAAACAAAACACTGAAATAGAAATAAATAACTAAATAATTTACTTATAGGTAGTTTTGCTGCATTGCACATTACCACACAAAATCCTAAAGCTGATTTTTTTTTTTAAAAGCTTGGAAAACACATTTGCCTTTTAGAGTTTCTTGCTAAGTGACACACGCTTTTTATAAGGAAAACTAGTCTATGTAGGCCTGAGTTTAAAATGCAAGTATCTGTCCATCTAGAGCTGGCCAACCTGAGTGCACAGCTGTGGAGCCTCACGTGTCGACAGAGGGTGGTGGGCATGGGATCTCAGCCTCCAGGTCTCCAGGCCGAGTCACAAGCAGCTCCTTCAGTTTGCCCACAGGTTGGGGAGCGCTGTTGAAAGCCAGCAGTTTTGGATGAAAAGTGCAAAAAGCAGTGGTACAAACGGTCTGTTTGTACTTTTACTGTGACGTCCTTAAACAGATGGTACAATCCTTGAGAACATCCTCTGGAGGCCTGAAAAGGAGCAGCACACGCTATGCCTGACGACGGACAGAGCGCTGACTGCGGGAGTGCCTCTACCAGCTCACACGCGCTTGACTTTGACAAGGCTTGTAGCAAGTTCCCACCAGTCCAATTTCTTTTACTTTCTATTACAGTATTCAGAGTTTATTGCCTCCTTGGTCAGCCCTTACCTGACATTAATTCTCCTCCTCCTGAGTTAAGCCCCTCCATGCTGGCCTCTCACCCCAGCCCAGCCCAGCCCCGCATCACCGAGGGAAAGCGCCTGGCTGTCTCCCTGCTGTGGTTAGAGTGGTGACAAACCACCTCTCCACACAACAGAGCGAGCCTTCCTGAGCAGCACTTTTTAAATTTGGGTGGGGGAAGCATGTTTCTTGGCTTATTAGAAAACTGATCTTGAAAATAATCTAGAGGAAAAGATAAGAAGTGAAATTCTGGTGCATAAACAAATACTTTAAGATTGATGTTAGGTCACTTCTCTTGCCGCCTTTTTGTGCCACCTAACCACCTTCCTGAATTAAGAGTAGCTACTGTACATCCTTTCTGCAATGGGACTGTCCTCACAGGGGTCAGCAAATGTCCTCTGTAAAGGGCCAGTTAGTAAATATTTTAGGCTCTACAGGCCACATAGAGCCTCTGGTGCATAGTCTTCACCTCTTTTTTCTTTAACAACCCTTTAAAAATTGAAAAGCCATTCTCAGCTCAAGGGGCCTGCAGATTTTCCCTGTGGCAAGTTTGCCAAGCCCGCTTCAGGGAGTTCTTTGGCAGGGGAACGTGGGCACTTAACTGTGTGAAGTGTAAGGCTGTCTTGGGCCCTGGAAGCCTAATCTGGGGACTCTTTTGGAGAGTAGGTAGGTCCCTGCAGAGGGATCCTCAGGCCAGGCCAAACGCAGAACTCCTCACAGTCTGTCTCTGCTCTGCTCCCTCAACAGTACAGAGCTGGACCAAACTGGCATCCTTTATTTAAAAAGTGGTTATTTACGGTAGGCCTATTTAAATCTGTGCCTATGCTGGCTTATTCTTGCCTTGATTTTAAAGGTAAAATGACATACTCCAGGCACCTAAAAATGCTCATTCTACAGGTTAGGGCCATACCACTCCAACTGGATGGTGGCAGAAAAGCTGAAGTGTAAACCCACTTCCTCTTCACCACTAATGCCGCCCACAGTCTGCAGGACCGAGCCCACCTGAGAATTCAAGGAGAAGCACGCCTGGGGCACTATGACACAGCTCACTCTACCATGGGGCCCTATGACACAGCTCACTCTACCATGGGGCCCTATGACACAGCTCACTCTACCATGGGGCCCTATG